AGGGGGATTAACTGGTTTGATGGGATGATTGGTATTTGTGAGTTACTGTTTTTAGAAAATTGTATTGGTACTGTTTCCTGTATATTGACATATTGAATATTGAATGTGAGTGTTCCTACCTCTATTTTTGTATAAGAGTATACTTATATTGTATTGATACATCTACCATATCACAATGTACATTTCTACCTCTGATACTATTTATGTAATAACATTGTTTACATTTGATATGTAATGACATTGTTTACAGATGAAGATCATTGTCTTCATGTATTGCACAGTTTTTTTTTTTTTTTAGTCTTCAAGTTAGATAGGTATTGAGAATTTTATGTTGTTCATGTTTATTTTTAGGTTAATAAGGTATTCTAGATACATAGAGATTATATTTAGTATAGATAGTATAATCTTCAGCCTCTTTAAAGAGCTGTAGAAAATGGCCTTTAAGCTAACCTAGAATTCTGTGCCGAGACACAATTACTCCTGGCGACACCACTCTACTCCCGAGAGAACGTTGAGCACCAAAGACACTCCACTGGGAGTTTGTCTTCTTGGCAGAATTGGCCTTTGGGTTAAGAAAAGCCCATACCTCATCTACTGACAAAGATATGAAACAGGATTGTCTTATCTTGCCAAGACAGGGTAGGATAATTCTAAGAAAATTCCTTGCATTTGATAATGGTATGTCAGTCATGCTAGGCCTTAGCCAAAGTTGGTTGACTCAACATTGCGAACGAGAATTTGGGTGATTGCCCAGGTAGTCTGTTGTCTCTGTCATTTATGGCACGCTTTGGATATCTCTCATTTGTTAAGTAATATTTATTCCCTTCTCGGATCTTTGACGGAGTTGAAGATTATATAATTGTAATTACTCTCTACATTATTTAGACTCCTTGAGATAGAATGTCTGGCAAAACTTTCGTTCTCAATATTGTTTGTTATATCTATTATTTATTATTATTGTTTATAGTTGTATTTAGGTTAGTTCTGTCTTATTTAGGCAAAAAGAGGGAGATGTAGGGATAAGCCCTCCCCTTGGGGGCTGGCTGCCCTCGGACGTATGTTTACTGATAAATAGGGCGCGCAGATGCTGCGCGGCCCTTCCTGTCTCTGCTGGCTACTCCGCTGGAACCTTGGTTTCGTGAGTCTGGTTTTGTTATTAAACTTGTTCAAATACCTAGTATCATTGGTGCTTATTAATCCAACCGCTGCACATGTCCACTAATCTGTCCGCGGTGCCTGGAGCTCAACTTCCTCCCCACACTGACAGCTGGTTCTTGTGTGCTGCACTGGATTCAGTTCCTACTTTTAGGTCTGTATGTTCACTAACCATTTCTTTTGCAAGCTATGCCAGATTTTTTTTTTTTGGTTTGTTTGTTTGATACAAGGTCTCACTATATAGTCCAGGCTAGCCTCTAACTTGCAATCCTCCTGCCTCAGTCTCTTGAGTGCTGGGATTACAAGTGTGTACCACCGCATCCAGTGAATTAACAAACTTTTGAAACTGAGGTTGCCTAATGCTGATTGCAGACAATGAAAGGTGGCATCAGATAATAACGCCGGTAATATGACCTCCTAAATACAATGAGAAAGGACACTGATAATAGTATTGCTTATAATAGAAATGTGTCACTTGCAGGGGCTCAGTATGTAGATTGCTTGTCAAAAGCAAAACGATGATCGTGTATCAAAAGATGCCTGGAGGGATGGCTAAGTTATTGGCTGAATGCAGTCAGCTCTCTGGGTCTACAATCACAGACTCAGTCAACCGTAGATGAAAATATATGAAGTCAGGTATGGTAGCATATACCTTTTATCCCACCATTTGGGAACATTCACACTCCACCTGCAAGTGTTGGGGACAGACACCACACTGGGCACAGAAACATCCCTAATCATGTGGCGCTTTTAACAAAGCGGGAGGTGTTTCTAATCTAGTGACAAAGGAGACTCCAGAATGGCTCGGGGATTTCAAATAGACAAGGGTATAAAGTTGTGCGGTGGTGAGTGTGACAAAGGACAGAGGTCAGTGTAGACGCCAGAGAGTGGAGGGGAAGGGAGTGGAGGGAGCAGAAGTTGGCTCTGCGTCCTGGAGCATCACTGCTGCCTCTCTGGGGCTTGGGGAGAGACCAGGCTGTGGGCAGCATGGGGACTACATCCAGTGTGGGCTTTGAAGTCTACACGACTCCAGGACTCTGTTACATGGAGTTCCCTACCCACCCTCACAAAACTCTCCTGCTCATTGAAGATGCTAAAACCACAGCAACCTCTGATGTTGATTAGTTGGCACCTACCTGGGCTTGAGGTTCAGTGAACTGCGAAGGTCACCTGAGCCAGTGAGTGACTTCAAGCCCCTCTCAGGCTCCCAGGAATAGCACTAGGGGCCTCCAGATTATAATTAGTCTCTTCTGCAAGTTTATAAAACTGAGGCATGGACCTGCACTATGAATGGAGAAAATGTGGCACAGAGAAGCCAAATTATTAGCTCAAAGAGCAGGGGTGACACTAACTGGGCCGCAGAAGACACCCAGGCCAGCAACTAAGAGTAGACTGCAGGGGCCCGTGCCCTCCTACCCAGGCCACCCTGGGTTTCCAGCCCAATGGTTAGTGACATGGGAGGTCTCAAGATGCTGCCTTGGGGCCAGCGAGAGCCCAGGCTCTTGGCTTCTGCCAGAAATGGCTCTGGGAAGAAGAATTTAGCGGTTCTGTAAACATCTGCTGGACGAAGGGGAAACATCCTGGACCAGAAGCTGAAAGATAGAAGGAAGGCTGGCTTTTCACTCCCTTTGAAACAAAACCTGTTTGCTAAGAGCTTCCTAAATCCAAGCCTAGGAACCTGGGGCCTAAATTTAGATTGTCCATGGAAGGTCAACGGATCCCCCCAGGGCAGGGTCAGCCAGCAGCTGCTGGAGATAAACTTTGCTTTTCTGCAGACTCAGGCCTTTCTCTCACACAATTAATGGGATCCTGTGCCACTTCCCCTGGGAAGGCAGAACAATAGCTATCAGGAGCAGGTGGCCGGCCTGGCAATCCCCCTGCCAGAGACTGGGATTCATGTCCCCATACAGTCCCAGACTCCCTGGTCCTGGCTCCCTGCTGCGCTCTAGCCGTACTGACCTTCCCTACTCCAGGATCAGATCCCTTTGGAGCCTTCTCCTACCTCAAGGGCAATTTATTTAGCTTTATTTTATTGACAAGTGATGGAACTTGCTAAGCAAGTGCTTTTCTCCTGAGCTGCCTTGCCTAGACCCAAGCGCACATGTACACCAGGATCCATCTGCTCCCTGGGAACTTCTTCCTGGAATTCTGCTGAGAAGTTCTTCTTCAGGGAGCCCTTTGCTGCTTTCCTTCCTACCTTTGTGTGCTGTGTGCTCTGGTGGAGACGGTGTCCAGGGCACAACAAATTCCCAAGGAAGAAAAGCACTTCTCTTGGGTCTGGGATGGGTCACTTGGACCACCTTCAGTCTCAGAGGAGGCTTGAGGAAGCAAGGTGAGTCCTAGCTGTCTCTTTCTGGGGTGGTTCTGGTCCCGCTGCATGCTGGGGAATATGAAGTCTGAGGTTCCACCACCAGCTCCTTGAAATACTGTGAGGCTGTTACCAAAGGTATGTGAACTTGCTGGGACCACGCTGGGTGCCAGACTGAGGACAGTACCAAGATGGTGGAGAGGAGGGCAGGCAGGAAGGAGGGCAGCATATCTTGCTATTTGCAACCCCAACTAGGTGAAAGCAACAAGCTGCCTCTTGTCTGGAACAAATGGATGGCAATGATCACTGTGCTGAGACTCGCGACACTGTTAGGAAAGCCAACAGGTAAAAGCTATCCTGTCTTGAACCTTTAGGGCCTGAATATAGGGAGATGTCCATCAGGTGTATCTATCAGTGCAACCTTGCAGAACAGCAAGGCAGACAGATAGAAAGATGGACGGACAGATAGAGAAGTCATCAGCAAAAGGTAGACCCACAGGAAGATGGATCTGATCAACGTGTGGAGTGTATGCTCCTAGCCACATGGTCAGTCCAAAGCGCTCACAGCCACCTAAGTCTAGGCTGCTCCCAGAATCCAGTTCTTTGTCAATGGACAGTGAGAGCCATAGAGGATTGTAGATGAGGGCTTGCAAGGTTGCCTTGTTGGGCGGTCTGAAGAGGCTTCAGTAGTTGCTCCAGGAAGATGATATGGAGCTCGAAGGGAGGGGACTGGCAAAACGCATTTTCCTGGCCTGGAGCCAGGAAGTAGGATGGAGAGGGGAGCCTTGGAGTTCCGCACTCACTGGGCAGTGGAGAGGGTCTGCAGAAAGGCAGGGAAGGGCTTACAGAAGGTGGAAGGCAGTAGACAATAAATGGTGGCTGGAGGGAGCTGTCCTATCCATCTGGAGAGTTGGCTGGGGACAGAAAGGGTGTGTATGTGAGCTTCTCCCCGCACCAAGGCTTGGCACCTTGTCCTAAGCATCTTTCCATGTAGGGTGAAGCAGGCACTGGGCTGGCTCCATTGACCTCTCACTCAGAGGCATCTCTGGAAGGAAGTTGGGGCCCAGAAGGGAGAGATTTACCAAAATTCCCACATCTGTGGCTGTTCTCAACAATGTCATCTTTTCTCTATAGAGGCCCTGAGTTCTTTTGAGCAGAGGAAAATAACAAAACAAAACCCCAAGCACAAGGACAAAAAGCCCATCCGGAGTCTGGGGCTCGTTGGAAACAAAGAGAATGGGGAGGCGAATGCTGGAAAGCGGCTGGTGCCCTAGTTGGGCTGTGGGCTGTGGGGCCGGGTGCCCCCACCTGAGCCTCAGGGACCCAGAGAGTCCAACCCAGTGTACCTTTCAAGAAATGGCTGGGCCATTGTGCAGAAGAATGCCCGGAAATCCCGCGACTCCCTCCTCCAGCGAGGATGGGGCTCTTCCTCCTGGCCAGGAAACTCCAAGTTGGCTTCCGGAGGGTGGCCTGGGGGCTGGGGTGGCAAAGTACCACAGATGCTTGAAGGCATAGCCTCTTTACGCCCCTGTGTGTCTCTGCTGTGCTGGGATCACAGTCTATGTGCTGGAGGAGACTGGGGACTGAGTGGCGCTGCCTGACGCACTGGACCTCAGAGGATGGAGGCAGGCAGCATCACAGAAGGGACAGCTCAGGCCCTTGCACTGCCACTTTGTGTCAGTCCCGAGGTTCTAGGGAAGGAGTGAGTGTAGACAGTGGTTGGGCAGGATCTTGGAAGAAGTTATATAAAGGGAGTGACCAACACAGGCTTGCCTAGCATCTCTGGTTGGCGTGCGAGGGACAAACAGAAGTTTGTTTCACCTGTGCACAGGGGCTCCCGGAACCTCCATGACAAGCCTTTGCTTGAAGGGGTCGGAATGATCTGGGGTGTAGCGCGTGAAAATGGTTGGTGTAGGCTAGAGGTCATGCAATTAAAGTGGAGAGACGGGGCACGCAGATCGCCTGTGAACCAGTCAAGTAAAGCCCCGACTTGGACAGAAACCGGTAGGGTTTCAAACTGCTGCCCTGCTGGGAGTGCTGGGGGTCAAGTGGGATTTGTCCTGCGCTCTGTGGTTTCAACTGTAACAGCCAAGGGGTCCGCGATTGGCTGTAGGCCGAAGGTCTGCTCATGGATTGGCTGGCCTAGCTCGGGGGCTGCGCCCTGGGGGCAGAGACCGCCCTTCCCCCCCCCCCCCCCCCCCCCCCCCCCCCCAGACTTCAAATAAGAAATCCCCAACAACAGGCACTGAAGAACCGTGCTGGTGTTGGTGATCCTCCCTTTTGGTCCATTTCAGGAGGCTCCAGAACAGAGGCACCACAGAACCAGCTGAGCGCACAGCCCAAGCAGCGCCAAGCGCACCCAGACGCCCCAGACGATCGTTCGATCTTTAGCCATGGGGTCCGCAGCGTTGGAAATTCTGGGTCTGGTGCTGTGCCTGGTAGGTTGGGTGGGCTTGATCCTGGCGTGTGGGCTGCCCATGTGGCAGGTGACTGCCTTCCTGGACCACAACATCGTGACGGCGCAGACGACTTGGAAGGGGCTGTGGATGTCGTGCGTGGTGCAGAGTACAGGACACATGCAGTGCAAGGTGTATGAGTCTGTACTGGCGCTGAGTGCCGAGGTGCAGGCAGCTCGGGCACTCACCGTGGGCGCTGTACTGCTGGCACTGGTGGCTCTCTTTGTTACCTTGACCGGCGCGCAATGCACCACCTGCGTGGCCCCGGGTCCAGTGAAGGCACGCGTGGCACTCACCGGCGGAGCGCTTTACGCGCTGTGCGGGCTGCTGGCGCTCGTGCCGCTCTGCTGGTTCGCCAACATCGTGGTCCGCGAGTTCTACGATCCGGCAGTGCCGGTGTCTCAGAAGTACGAGCTGGGCGCGGCGCTGTACATCGGATGGGCAGCCTCCGCTCTACTCATGTGCGGCGGCGGCCTCGTGTGCTGCGGGGCTTGGGTCTGCTCCGGCCGCCCGGAGTTCAGCTTCCCGGTCAAGTACTCGGCACCGCGGCGGCCCGCAGCCAATGGCGAATACGACAAGAAAAACTACGTCTAAGAGCGGGAGGAACGGCGGGGCCCTTCCCGCAGCCAAGCCCGTGATCGGAGGGACCGACGTGGAAAGCCGCACGTGGATGGCAACCACCACTGGTTTGCGCATTGCAGACTCCGAGACAAGTCAGGCTGGGTTCCTGCCAGGCTTTTTCGCGCCCAGAGAGTCCTCTGACCGTCACCATCTAGACTCATCTAGACTCAGCTCAGAACAGACACTTGTGAGGACTTGACCGACCTCATTTTCTATGCGCATTTGGCCGCGGCATGGATGTGGCTCTCGGATTTCATCGGTGAAGCAGGCACTAAACTGCAGGTGACAGTTTCTATTGAGCAGTTCTGGATGCTGCCTTAATGTCCAGTAGCTCCTACTGACCTGAAAGGGCAGCTGGAGAACCCCAAGCCCGCAGACTGGGCTGCCAGAGGCATGTGCTATAAAGGGCATTTTCCTTGTTAGTGAAGAGGAGCCCATTGAACCAAAGGACTTGGTCTGAACCTCGTCTCACTCCAGTACTCCCCCAACGGGGGCGCCTGTAGGTACCAGAGCCTTAGAGGGGCTGCCCTCCTCGCAGCTTGGGGGTGGGGCGGGGCGGGCAAGAATTTGCTTAGTAAATGGTTTGAACACTCTCAACCGTGTCCTGTCCTCTGTCCAGCTTGCCACTGCCTGTGCCTAGTACTGCTATTCATCCAATCGCCCATCAGCCTCCTCAAAGTCTCCCACGGGTATTTCTCCAGTCCTCAACTAGGAGATGCAGTTAGACTTGCAAGAAGCTAAGAATGTGGACAGAAAATTCCAGGGCAAGAGCTGGATTCAGGCTGGGATAGATGGGGGAAAGCTGATTCCAGGAAAGGATCCAGCTGGAACCTCACATCATGGGAATGGACTGGGTGGTGGGAAATGCTGAGGGTAGGTAGCTAGCTAACCAGCAAGACTGGTCCCAAACGCATTTCCTCCCAGTGCCTGCTCAGTTCCAAGCACCATGAAGCCGCCCCAGGCAACTGTACACAGCCAGCACTTCCCTTGTGTTTGCGAGCTAGGGTGAATCAAAGATGTCACTGGTCCTCTGCTGACTGCATGCTTAACTGTTAAATGGGAGGAGAGGCATTTGCTCAGAGAATCTGGGCCTGACTCCAGCTCTTTGTCCCAGCCCCTCAGGTTAGTGTGGCTCTACACAAGGTCTAGCTAGGGTCTGTGTCCATGCCGCTGGTAATGCAACTGTGTTGACAACCACAGGGGATCTCTGATGTGACTGTCCTGGGAGAAAGAGGGTGAGGGGCAGGATTTGGAAAAAGACCCCAGGAGGGAAAGGCAAGTAAAGCCACCAGAGAGACAGAAAGACAGAGGAAGGGAGGGAGGGAGGAAGAGAGGAGGGGAGGGAGGAAGAGAGGAGGGGAGGGAGGAGAGGAAGGAGAGGAACAAGCTTATTGTTTCTCCCTATTCGGGTAGTTTTACCTTTTGCTAAAAGACCAGGAACAGGAGTGGATGAAGGAGGCGGTGGCTGCAATGAAGCCCTGGGAGCAGGAAGACTTGGCATCTGCCTCCACCCTGGCTTCCACATTCATTACCAAGTCTTTCAGCCTGGCTGGGTTCATCCCAGTGAGGAAAGGAAAGGAATTAATCCTAAGGATATGAGCTTAGAGAGGCTCAGCTCAGGAGAAATTCTGGAATTGGGGACAGAGAAGGCAAGGATGGAACTTATGAGGAGGTTGACTTCCCAGTGGCCTGAGCCCCAGTGAGACAGCGTCTGTGGAAACCTCACTGGACCAATTTGAACTTAGCCTAACATGCGCATGTGCAGGAGGAACAAGCACAGTCCCAAGCTTGGGGACACATGGTCCTAGAGCTGGTCCTGTGCCTTAGCTGGCCCACTTGGCTGGCAGTGTACTCTTCCCACAGAGGTCTTTACTGAGCACAGAGTATGGGAGGGGAGCTGCTCCACCTGAGTCTTCCGAAGGCCAGGGTGGCCCTATGAGAGTAGTCAGCCCGGGCACTGCTAGCCTCCAGGGTCGGGAGAGAGGAGCCAGTCCTCACCCAGCTCCCGCCCATTGCAGTCCCTCATTTCCCCAAAAGCAGCATGGCCACTCGGGGCCCCTCTTCTAGACCACTTTGTGGGCTTCTCACCACTGACTTAAAATTACCATCAGTACTTGGAGTAAGAGGGAGATGGCTTAGGCTACATAGTGAGATCCTGTATCAAAACCAAAACTGAAAAACATTTGAGAAACCTACCCAAACAACTCCTTCTAGGACTGTGTGCCATGCCGCCTTCCTCAGGAGCTCAGATGCCCACAAATGGGTCTCTCCTGCTACCATGTTTGCTTCTGCAGTACCTATGTGCCCAGGCAGTAACTAGCCCCTCTTCCCCTTCCCGCCTGTCCAGGGACAATGACTGTTGGCTCTACCATTCTAGCTCCACCACAGCTGAAATGTTCTGTGTGGGTATGAGCAAAGTTGACAGGAGCCTGGGACAGTGTTTCCCTTCAGGCATCACTCGGCAGCCAGACCTCCTCGAAAGCAGTGTGGCCCTGCACGCCGGCAGGATCGAGGCATGTGAGCAGGCCCTGCTCGCCGGCAGGGTCGAGGCATGTGAGCAGGCCTTGCTCACCCAGGTTGCCCAGGGTCGAGGCATGTGAGCAGGCCCCTGCATGGTAAGCTGAAGGCCACGGTGGAGGGGTGGCCAAGAGGGTAATACAATTAGGCAGTGTCCAGTCCTTCCTGGCATTGCTGGGCAGCAGCCATCACAGGTACTGAAGGGTCAGCCCAGCCTCTGCCCATTGAATTAGGAAGCCAGGAGAGCAGGTGAGGGAGACCTGGTCCTAGGGCTGAGTAGAGAAGTCTCTGTACTTCCTGCTGGCACAGAGAATGGCAGCACACAGGAACAAGGCTGCCTTGAATCCCAAGAAGATTCAGAGTAGGCACACAGGGAATGGAGCAAACATTTTATTTTATTAAAAACCACATAGTCCCACACATCAAATGTATCTTGCAATCTACTAGAGGCCAGGTGATATAAATAAGGAAAAGGAGGTCACTTCTGGAGAAATCAGATTCTGGAAGGAAAAAAAAAAAGGTTTCACACAATTCATCCTTTCTCCCCACGCATCAAACAGACTGAACAAAGCCCTTCCCGTGTGTGCTGGGCTGCTGCTTTCAGCCACTCCCGTGGCAGGGTGAAGGGAGTGTGCAGGTCTACTGAGGTGTGTGCTGTCCTCTTACAGAGTCTCAACTGTCCCCATCAGAGTACCTGGACCCTCCTCACCTGGTAGACCTTGTCTGGAAAGGTCTTGACTTATCCTGCCAGGGCAGCTCTGTGGCTCGAGTACAGGGCCTCCCTTGCCTGGTCAGTCTCTACTGCTTTCCCATGACCTAGCAGCCTCTTCCCCTTCCCCTGCCAGTTACAGCCCTGCCGGATGGCCACATACACAGCCGAGCTGCTGACGTGGGAGGTCTGCCTCCACCCGGCCCTGGCACGGGCTGCTCCCCACAGGCCAGTACACACTTGCTACCTGTGGGCTAAGGGTGCTGTTGGCTCCTTTTTGGAGTTAGGACTAATTACTTACTTACACAGCCCAAGATCGCTACTGAATACCTGAAAGTCTGACCAAGGATTTCCTGGTCCAGTCTAGACACCTTTCTTAATATGGCCTTGAATGCTTAGGCTACTCTGATTGAATGAAGTTCCTAAGACTCATGAGGCCACTGTAGTTCCCTACAGCTCAGACTTTAACAAGGACAGGGCAGCTCCAGACTGAGCTGTTTCTTGTGTCAGAGCCTTGGAAAGGCTGCCTGGTCAAACAGGCTGAGATGGCTACACAGGCATAGGAATCACATGGTTCCTCAAAAAGAGGAGTCATGTGGAAAAACAGTGAAGGCTTCCCAAGAGAGCCATCTTGGGCCACATGCAGTAGGCCTCTCAGGATAGCTGTCCACAGCTGAAGGCTCACGCAGAGCCAGCATTTCATGGTCTGTGGCTGGGTAGTTGCCAATAGCTTCCTTTCTTACTAAAGACTGAGTGCAGAAAGGCTCAGATTGCCACTTTTGTAGGCTCCAGCCTGGGGCTTGTGGCTGTAAGAAACTGGGTGACCACTGGGGCTTGCATTGGGGTAATCACACAAGATGCGCAGCCCCATGGTGTGGGCATTAGAGAGAAAATTTGAGGTTGTTCTGAGGGGTCAAAGGTACTTAATGAAATTAGGCTTTCTCAGAAGTGCTCCATTGTGGCCCTGCTAAAATTCTTAGGACAGACATTCCTGGGAAAAATCTCCAGACCCTGCTCTGATCTGAAACACAAGTAAAAGTCTCTGTTGAGGGAGACAAAGCAGGAGTCGGCTTGAGACCCAAGGGCTGCCCACCCTGGCTTACCCTCAGGACAGCAGAGACACGAGAGCATCCAGGAACTTGCTCCGGTCCTCGACTTTCAGCTCAATTACTGAAGTAATGAAAGGAAAACATCTTGTGAGCGGGGAGGAGTGAGAAACAAGGCCTCGTACACGAACTCCCCCTCCTCCCTCAGGCCGACAACTCTCCACCGCATTCCACAGCCAGGCCTGGAAGGCTCTGCAGTACTGGAATTGATCTCTTTCCCACTATACTCCCACTTCAGACCTGCTGGCTGCTCTGTGGAAAGGCCAGAGCCTTGTCCTGCAAGGACTCCCAGGGCATAGAAGGGTCAACAATGTCAACCAGCAGAGGGGACACAAGGCACGTGACAGCTTTGATACAGACTTGGACAGGGACTGGTATCAATGCCTGTCCCCACATTAGTGCAGGCCACAGCAGACCTGCTTTGTCCTGTGCCTCAGCTTCAGCGTTGTCTTCTGCAGAGGACATAATATGAACTACTTCTGTTCTGAAGGGCAGACAGATTCAGACAGGCACAATGAAATGATGCCAGAGCCTGGTTAGGGCTGGTTTGGGCATTGCAGGATGTTCCATGTTGTTGGCCAACTCCCCAGGAGTGCAAAGCCTTGCCTATCAGGCAGGAACTGACCACAGCTACTTCCACACTCCCTACCTAGGCTCTCCAATCCCCAGAAGCCAGGGATCTGCCAACCCAAACCCTCCCTGTGTATAAAGGTGGGCTGTGGTCAACCTGCATATCTCAAGCAGAAAGCAGGAGCTAGTGCTCAAGATGGACCAACCCCACAGTGCCATGGCTACAGTTGCCTGGCACAAAGAAGCCTGCCTGAGACAGTGCAGGCAACCCGAATACAGGTCAGTGTTAGGGAATCAGAGAGTGATAATGTAATGTCCTTTCTGAAAGATGCGGATAAAATGCTGAGGTAGCCAGGTGGTGGTGGCACAGTCCTTTAATCCCAGCACTTGGCAGGCAAAGGCAGGAAGGTCTCTATGAGTTTGAGGCAGCCTCATCTACACAGTGAGACCCTGTCTCAAAAATAAGATAACAAGCTAAAGACAATGGTATTGCCTTTAGTTCCAGCACTCAGGAGACAGAGGCAGGTACAGGTGGATCTCTGAGTTCAGGGTTGCCCTATCTACATAGGGAGCTTCAAGACAGCCAGAGCTACCTGCCTCACAAAACAAAATAAACAACAACAACAAAAACAAAATATCAATACCTAAACAAACAAAGCAAAGCCAAGGCAACAAAACCATTCAACTGAACTGAC